TATAAAACATTTATTTAGTAACACTATATATAGAATAAATATTATAAAAATATAGTTTATAATTATTTAAATAAGCTTTTATATAAATAAATTATAATTATTAAATTAATTAAAATATAAACTATTAATGCTTATTAAATTATTATTAAATAAATAATTAAGATTAATTATTAATATAAGTAAATAAATTAATTATAAAATAAAAATAAATCAAAAAATTTAAAATAAATAAATTATGCTTTATAAAAAATTTATCATATAATTTCTGAAAATAAATATTCTATAATATATATGAATTTATTAGTATATATGTAATTAATAATATAATAAATTTTATATAAAAGTAAATTACTATAAAGAAGCATGTTATAATATGCTTATTTTCAGAACTATACAGTATATATGAAAATAATATTCATAAAAAAATAATAACAATTAGTAAAAATATTATACTTATATTATAAAAATTATATTACTGATCATTTTCTTATAATAAAATATATTGCTAAATTTTACTAAGCCATATTTAAAACCTTATTTTCTTTTTTGTAATAGATTATTTACATATAATAAATATTAAATAATATATTTAAAAAAAGTTAATCAATATATTATTAAATAATATTTATAAGTAAGTTTCATTTAATTTAAAATATTAAGTAATAATTTTTATGATTATTAATATTATAAAAATTGCAACTTTAAACTTTAAAAATAATACTACTTTTATATATTATTTAAATTTATCTTTACATTATAAAACTCAGTATTTAAACTAATAATATTTATGAAGACTTTATAAATAGAAATGAATTTTTATTTAAGCTGATTTCTGTTAATATTTCTTATGAATTTAAAGAATATGAATTAAATTTTAAGTTTAATTTTTTTCTTTTCAATTTTATGAAGATTTATTTTAAAAATAATAGAATTAATTAATAATACTAATCAAAATCAATAAAATCAGACATGTGAAAAATCAATTTAAAATTGGCAAATTATCAAAATGGTCTGGCTAATTGATATATATCAAAAATCAATTAAAATTTAACTAAAATTAAACTTATCTTATTTATAACTATTTGGTATAATTATAGTTAATTAGTATATATCAAAAATTAGCTAAAATTTGATCTATCTTATTTATAGCTAATTGACATCTAATTTACATCTAATTGATAATACATTAAAAATCAATTAATATTAAACTTATTTTATTTATAACTAATTGATATCTGATTTACATCTAATTAATATATATTAAAAATTAACTATATATAATAAAATAAAATAAAATTTGAAAGTAAATATAACTAATATTTTAAATTATAAAATTTATACTATAAACATTCAATTTATTTTCATAAAAAGTAATTTCTATTAGTTAAATTAATAACTAAATATCCTTTCACATTTACTAAAATAAAATCAATCTAAAATATGATAAACTAGTATTATAAAATTACAACTTTTAGATAAATTTAATATCCTATATAAAGATGATCCCTATCATAATTATTTCAAATTTTAATTAAGTTGCAACAAATTACGCTATAAGAAAATTAATAGTATCGCAAGTTACAATTCAATTGTACTATTTTTTAATTGCAGTAATCATCTTTAATCCTATAATTCAATATTACATATTTTTTTTCACAAAAATAATATCACATATTTGGAAAATTTGCAGATTTATATCAGAAAATATATTCTAAAAAAATATATAGCCTATTTAAATGTTAAATTGACCTTATAAGTAAAATAATATTAAACTTAGTTTAGTAATAATCAATAATGCTATTATTTGTAATAAATTTAGCTAAAATATACAAATTTTTTACATTTTATAAAGACATTAATGAACTAAAAATTTTAATACCCTCTGAATTATTTATTTTGCTTTAAATAGTAATACTATCTTTTGAATCCTTATCAAATAACTTCTATAAAGTTAAAAGTAGTATAAATTGTATTGTAATATTTAATTATCAAATCAAGTATTTCGCTAAAATAATTATATTATTAGATGATAGTTTAAGAAATTTGCTAAAAAATGTTTTATTATTAATAACATTTAATTCTTTAATATTTTGTAAATTTATCTAAAATCAGTAAATTTCATTAGAAGAAAATTCATTTGTATCTAAAAAAAAACTAATAGAAGACTAATTATCTAGCAATTCAAGTCCTTTTATCTCAACATCATCAGAACTTATAATACTGTCAGTTTGAATATCAAATATTAATTAATATATTAGTTTATATTTGATATTTCTATTACTATTCAGTAAAGAATCTAAAAATTATTCATAAATTAGATAAGTTGATTTATTCAAAAATTCTTAAAAAAATACCTAATATTCAATTTATAAGTTCAAAAAAAAATACTAAATGCATATAATAGACTATAATCAATTAAGCAATTATATAAATGAAGATAAAGGTGAAGATTTGTTATACTGTAATTATCTTTATTTAAAATTAATTTTACTATCTAAATAAATCTTCAATGTTCTTATATAATAATTCTGATTCTACAATTCAGCTTACAAAAATTGTATAATTCCTTATGAAATATTTAAGAATCTTTTTATTCATAATCAAAAGATATTTTCAAAGTGAAACAGTAATTTATACAGTGAAAAATATTCATTATGATGGTTATTTAGAATAATTTATTAACATTTTAATATTTATTTTTATTTTGTTATTAACTTTTTATTACATTTTTATATATAATTTTAACATTTTTTATAGAAAAATTTAACATTTTTATTACGTTTTTTATAGTATATTTTAACATTTTTATAATATTTTTTAGTTATAAATTACATTATAAACGTAAATTATAATTGTATACAGTATAAATATATCAATTAATTATAATAATTCATCAACGATTTTAACTGAAATTTTATCGATATTTTGCTTTTAAATAGTCGAACCTTGAGGAAACCTCTGAATGTTCACCTACTGTTGATTCAGGTTGTACAAGTTCTGTTTTAGTGAATTTATTTATAGAAAAAATCTTTACTTTCTAAAATTAAAAAGATCGCATGCACAAACATGTCCCTTAATTTTTTTAAATAGTCAAATTTTGTTTGAACATGTGATGATTTGCGTAATCTATTTATTTATACAAGCGGCAGTCAATTTACATCATTCGTCACATGTAACTTCAGTATAATTTCACCCAGCTTTAGATCATAATTTGGTCTAAAACTGGACAACCAAATTCTGGCCGAAATGGACTATTTCAACTGGTGACATTGAAGATCTATTGAGATGGTAAAGTTTATTAAAGATAATCACAAGTATAACAAATCTTCACCTTTCTCTCTATTTGTATAATTACTCAATAGATTAAAATCTGATATATGCATTTTGATATTTTTCTTTTAAATTTAAACTCATGAATGGAATGAGAGTTTAATGAAAATGCAAAAAATTGTAACAATATTATGATTAACGATAGGAGAAAAACGAAAAGGTGATTTACTTGTAATTGAAAATAATGAGTAAGATTTTGTCAAATTAAATTATTCCGAGTTCAATTCACACCACTTAATGTAAAATGAAAGAAAGGAACGCTCCTCATGATTTTAAGCTTTCCATATGCAAGATATTGTTTTTTGTTTTTATTTTATTTTTTCTATTTTAACATTATAACGTAAATAAGCTTTGTTTATTTCATTAATTTATATTTTATTTATTCTTTTATTTTATCTTTTTTATTTTGATTTTCATCCAGGTTTTTCGATCGCGCCATTTAAATAAGTTTCTTTATTCATTTTTTGAATTTTATTTTATTTTTTCATTTTTATTTTTAAGAATTATAATATTTATTATTTTTTTGTAGATAATAAATTAATTGTATATGTAGATAATAGATTCTTCATATTTCTTTATTAATTTATAAATACATAAATTGTCATAAATTTCATATTCTATTAAATTTCAGATATCTCAATTTTAGACGGCCTCGTATCTGAATTCTGAAATTCAGATTCTGTCTGAATTTGATTTCAGATATCTTAATTTCAGATGGCTCGTGTCTGAAAATAGTTGTTACACAGAAATTGACCAATATGACATAGACTGAAATTAGAAATATCTGTAATTGGAATTCCAATTTCAGTATCTCAACTTCAAACGAAAATCAATTTCAGTCACAACAATATTACCAAGAAAGCTTCTTTCCCGTTCAGAAATAATTTATTTGCACGGGTATTGGTCAAGTCGTTTTATATTTGTTTGGCTTTTTTTTTGATTTCGGATTCGATCGCTTCGGATCGCAGCGATCGAATATCTTTTTTCTTTATTTTGGAATTTGCGCCTTTTCCTTTAGGTTCTTGGATTACTTCTGTAAGGTATTAGGTAATTCGGGTTCAATTTGGGTTGAGTTGAGTTTGGTTTGGGTTGGGTTGGGTTGGATTGGATTGGGTTACAGTGCACGACAAAAGTAATTGGAATAAAATCTAATATAAAAAAATCCTTTTTTTTCTGCAATATAAAATCAATTAAATTAAAATTTTGATTCAACAGTCAATTATGGAAATTATTTATTTGCTTTATTTTGTCGATCAATTTTTATACCAAAGTAGGAAACCTAAAACTCTTTCTGAGCGGTGTCCAAGGTTGGTGGATTGGCATCAAATAGTTCAGATTTCAACCCTGTCGTAAATTTATGGTCATTTTATTATTGAAATAATTAAAAAAGAGTGGGAAGAAATCGAACCTGAAATTCTACTTAATATTTCTCGTAACATGCCAACAAGATTAAAAGAGTAATTGCGCATAACGGTGATAAGCTATTTACTTAGAATTTTTTTTTTTTTCGTCATGTAATAAAGAGTGTAATTTTAATTTTCATGTATTTTTGATTATTCTCGAAGTAAAATAAATAAAAACATATTTCCAATTACTTTGTCGCGCACTGTAAGTTTGGGTTGTGTTTCGGGATATGGTTAGGTAGGTTCGGTTCGGGCTAGGTTCGGGTTATGGTTGGGTTTGGTTCGGCTTATGTTCGGGTTAAGTTTAAGTTAGTGTTAGGTTAAGTTCGGGTTGGTTTGGATTAAATTTTGGATATTTTAATTTTTCTTTTCTGTTAATTTTTTTTTTTTTAATTACTTTATTAATTTTTACAATAAAAGACTATTTATCAAAAAAAAGGATCGACAAAGATTAACGAAATTATTCTAATGATAACATAGTAGCATATAAGCAAGCTATTTAATAGATACGTAAACTCAAATTTGATGTTCACGAGGTGCAATACAAAATCATATAAATAAAGTTGCTATATGGTAATTAATAGTAAAATCTAAATAAAAATAAAATAAATTTGTTTCCAAACCTCCTGCGCCACATTTGCTTGCAGAAATTACAAAATGAATGCAGACGATAGATGTAACAAATATCATTTATCACATGATTGACTTGTTGAATTACTATGTTCATATTATTGAGGAAGTTGATAACACGTGATTAATATATGAGGGCCTACTTTATTTATTTATTAAAAAGAATTTAAATTGGTCTAAGACCGAAATAGTTACTCCTTTATCCATACCTATTTTTATGGACCTTTCCCTTGCCCCGATTGCGATTAGTAAATCTTCTTAGAAGAATAGAATTAATTTTTGATTGGTCATAATGTTATAGTATCACAATTATGTCAAAACATAAAGATTTCCCCGCCATATTTCTATTTATAACAACTTGCATTAATTTTGTAAATAATTCTGCGCCTCTGCAACAACCACTTGGCACCCCCCATGCTTCGTTTCACGAATTATTATAAAAGCGTATTCTCCCCCCTTAAAAAAAAAAAAAATCTCTTTTTTAAATAACTGAATAACACACTTTACTTCTATTTTTTTTTAACTAAAAACTTTCTTTTTTCAAAAGATGGAAAACAAATTTTTGTTAGGACTGTCTCAAGATTTTCTTAAATTGTTGGAAACAGGAGAATATGCGGATGTTATCATATATACGGGACAAGAACCTGATAATAAAGAATTCCGTGCCCATTCACTTGTATTAAGATCGAGATCGACATATTTTAGAGACGCTTTATCAAATGAATGGGCGAAAACCCAAGGAAATTTAATGATTTTCAAACAACTCGATATTTCCCCCGAAGTTTTCGAAATCATTTTAAGGTAAAATCGAAATTTTTTTTTTTAATAAAAAAATCGTTCTTTAATAACTTTGTCTTCTTTATTTTTTCTTAGGTTTCTTTATGGAGGATCGTTATGCCTTGCGGAACATGATGCAAGAGTTATTCTCGAATTATTAATTTCAACGGATGAATTAGAACTTGATGAACTGACAGATTTCATTCAAGAATATTTATTAAATAATTCATGGAGGTTAATGTCCCATTTTGTGTTATTTCACAAATTCGCGATGCAAAATGATGAAAGGTTTCCCAAAATAAGAAAATGTGTAATCGAATTAATAAAGGAGAATCCTTCGACAATATTTGATTCAAATGATTTTACTACTATCGATCAAGATACATTAATCGCTTTTTTTAAATGTCATAACTTTTCTTCAATTAAACCTGGAATCTTGTGGAGAAATTTGGTGGAATGGGGTGTGGCTCACACGCCATCGGTACCGATACAATATATTGAGTGGAATGATGAGGATTTTGAAGCTTTAGGGGATACGCTTGAACCTTTTATCACATTAATTAAATTTACCGAGATGGATTCCGAAGAATTCCTTTCAGAAGTTAGACCTTGGAAAAAATGTTTAGATTACATTGATCCGGACTTTTATACTCAAGTTCTTGAATTTCGTCAATTACCCGCTGTTAATGTTACTTCTAAATTGTTTAAATTACTGTTGGAAGTGAGGAATCGTAGACATATTAAAGAGATTGATTCCAATTTGATCACACCTTCTGACGCAACGTTATTAGCAAATTGGATTTACGAGGTATCATCGAGTAACGGTACTAACTTTCCTTCTCAACAAGACAATCCTTTGTTCGAATTTAACTTATTATTACGTGGTAGCAGAGATGGGTTTACCCCTGAAGAATTTCACACGAGGTGCGATGAAAAAGGTCCGACGATAACAATTTTAAGGGTTGAGAATACTGGAGAAATCTTAGGAGGGTATAACCCGGTCAATTGGCATTCAAACATATTAGGAAACTATAGTCCATCAAATTCTTCATTTATTTTTTCCCTTGGTGATAAAGTATTTAATTATGAACCCAGATTATCAAAAATTTCCAATGCTTCTAAAGCAGTCTATCAAAGTGAGTCATACGGTCCTTGTTTTGGTGGGGGTTATTCCGATTTAAGATTATTTGGTGCTGATTTTAAAGATAAGGGGGAATGTAGGTGCGTGCAAACTAGTTATGAAGATAAAATTAGGGATGATGAAGTAGAATTTTCCATTGATGAATATGAAGTATTTCAAATAAGTCCTTTCGTTACTTCGACAAAGTCAAAGTGGTCAATCTTAAGGTCTTATGCCATCGCATAACCTTTCTCCCTATACTATTATTTTGTTATTATGTATATTATCATCATAATGTTATAATGTATTATTAGTATTATACATATATTAAAATCTATAATGAATAAATTAATTTGACATTAATTTTTAATCTTATTCACTCGTTCATTATACAAAATTATTATTATTAATTTTTTTTTTATTCAATGCTGCAAATTATGCTAACATAGAATTGGTGTTGGAGGGTGTGATGAATGAGATTCTAAAATACCAACGGATCATGGTCTAACCCTTTTTAAAATATCGTGATATAGTTCAATCCGAAGGTAACGTGTTTAGCATTCGTCAAATAAACTTTCTCCGTTATTTATAGCCTCCTTCCATCTCTGGAGAATAACATTCGTTTGGAATCGAATGTTAATTTGTGTAACTCAGCGTTTCTGTTTACCAGATTTAGAAATTTGCGGCATGACGATCACCTTACGTAGGCAATCTTATCTAAAAATTTCAATTATCACCATTATTACGAATAAATTATTTTAATTAAAATTTAATAATAAAGATAATTTTGGTTGAAAATATTTTTTCTTAAAAATTTATAACAAAGTCTGATAGTAATAAGAAATAAAAGCATGAATCTTAATTTTTTTGTTTTTATAAATTCAAATTTGCGTTAGAGCCAGAACAGCAATATTTAGACTAAGGTCGGCTGGATAAGCATTTGATAAGTTTCGTAAATTTAAATTTTTGTAAATTCATATTTTACCATTCTGTTATCATATACTTTCAAACCATAAAACTTATTACTTTTTACTGAGGCATTCGTAAAGGTAAATTATTTCTTAATCTTTTTGTTATTTTTATATGATGTATAATGATAATATAACAAAAAGAAAATTTTTAACCAAAAAAAAAAACTTTTAAATTACATGATCAAGCGTATTTAAATCGATCAAATAATTTTAAAAATCGATTAAGTTTCAATTCTAACATTTTAATCGATTTTTATTGTGAAGCATCGACTTTCTTTGATAATAAGTTTTGTGAGAATCTCTAAAAAAAAAAAAGTAAAAAAAAAAAAATGTACATATTCTTATATTATATTAATTAAATGTGTTTACTGAGTATTAATATAAAAATCTCACTAAACAGTCTAAATTATTTGAAGAATATATTTTATTTTGTTATATTATAATAAAAATTTATGTCTCCAGTCACGCGCGATAAGTAATTTTAATCATTTTCTTCAAAAAAGTATTTTTCGAAAAGGGCCATGACAGTGCATCAAGGAGAGTGGGTGGTTGATGAAATTCGTTACGGGCGAAATTTATAAATTTATCTATACTTGGGAGTTAAATTTTAAATAATATAGAATTCATTGCCATTTGAATTTAGAGTGTAGCTCTATTGTTTGCAACCAGGAAATAATTTGAATGTGACATTGCACAATATTAAATGTCTAACTAGACTTTCAAATTCCATAACCGATTCAACTTCGGTTCTGCTTCGATTAAATACAAATAGAACATGTGATTATCTTTTTTTTGATTGGTTAAACAATTCGTCGTCTGTAAATATTGTTACATTGAATATAATTTCGCCCGGAGAAACCATAATTTCACATGTAAGCTGTTTTCGATGTCCTTTAAAGATCATTTCAGAACGTTTTCTGTAGCTTCCGCGCGTTATTTTTATAGGGTTTATGTAAGAATCTACGAGTATTATGTTTCACAAAATAAAAATTATCAATGTTGATTGGCTGCAACTTAAAACGATCGACAAAGGTCAATGACCTTAAAAAAAAACAATAAATATCTGTATAAAGCTTTTTTTTTCTTTAAAATTTATAACAATGTCCAACATTAAAGAAAAAAGTGCACTTAAAAATATATTTACCAAAGCTAAAAAGAGGAATAAAGATGCGTCTGATATAGATGGAGTTGGTACGTATTAATTTTAACGTGAATTAACAAGCTTTACGGTTTTCTTTAAAAAATAATTTGCAACCTATTAGAGTCGGTTTCGGACGCTGACTCATTAGAAGAATTAAAAGGTAATATTAATCATGCATTTTATAATCTTTACTATGCGGTGAATAATTCTTTGCGCCGGAAGTTAATTTAGTTAATTTTAAGGAATCATGCTATAAAAACTCAACCAAAATATATTAAATACTCAAATTTTGTTCCTAATAATTTTATTAAATTCGAATTATAGAACCATATTCGAGTGATGAAGGTAGATACAACAATATCTAAACTATATTTAATCAATAAATAATATAATTCGTAAAATGTACTCAATATTTTTTGAAACATTAGAAGAATTAGATGGTAAAGAAATATTATCAAATATTAGTTTGTGCTATGATCCATTTCAAAACAGTTTTCTTAAAAATAAATATATCATTATAGATGCTTCTGATGCTCCTACATTAAAAGAATTAATAGGTAATAAATATTTATTTATTTTTAATTTAAATTATAATTCCATAATAATTAATACTCATTAATTTTAAAATAATTTAATGGTCGATGATACTTAGATTGTAAACAATCTTAATTTTGCTATATTTAACTTCTATAATTAAATTCAATTATACCATATAGTTTTAAAACTATTTTATTTGTAGGGAGTAAGTTGTTTTTATTCTTTATATTTTTATACTATAATTTATACTTGACTAATTTTAATGTTTAATAATATTTTAGTTGGTAAATTACTTTTATTAATAATTTATTTTTAATTATACTATTTAATTAATTAAATTTTATTTAAAATAATATAGGACGTAAGCTATTTTAATATTCGTAATTTTTACTATGACTAAAATTTACTAATATACTGGTATTATTACAAAAAGTAAGTTATATTAATTAATTAATAATATTTTTTACTATAATTTAAAAGAAATTTTTATTTAAATAATCTAGATTATAAGTTATTTTATTAATTATCAATATATAAGTATACCTTTTACTATAAAATTTTAATTTAAAAATATTTAATATCAATAATTAAATAGTTAATAAGCTATTTTTATTAATTATTAATTTTTAATTATATTTTTTATTGTAATTTCATATTTAATTATATTTATATTTAATAATATTTAATAATTTAGATTATAAGTCATTTTTATTGATTATTAGTATTTTAGTATTTCTTACTATATTTTAAATTTACTCATTATTTAAATATATATTTAATAATTAATAATATAATAGATAGTAATTTATTTTTATTAATTATCAATATTTTATTATATTTTATTGTAATTTAAATTTTATATTTAATAATATTTAATAATTTTAGATAGTAAGTTATTTTTTTGATCTTAATATTTAAATATACTTTTATATTATAATTAAATTTACTAAATTTTTATATAATAATATTTAATATTAATAATATAATAGTGGGTAAATTATTTATTAATTATTAATATTTAATTTTAATTTAATTAAATTTTTATTTAAAAAATTAAGATAGTAAGTTATAATTATTAATTATTAATATATAATATGTATTTTATTATAATTTATATCTAACTATATTTGTTATTTAAAAAATTATTACTAAAGGAAGTAAGTTATTTTTGTTAATTATTAATATTTAATTATATTTTTTTACTGTATTATAAATTAACTAAATTTTTATTTTAAAATATTTAATAATAATATATAATAGTATGTGAGTAATTTTATCAATTACTAATATTTTAATAATATTTTTATTGTAATTTATATAATTAATTTATATTTGAAAATATTTAATAATTTAATTAGTAAGTTACGTTTATTATTAAATTATATTATATATTATAATTTAAATTTAATTAAATATTATTTAGAAATTTTTGCTAAAAGAAGTAAAGTTATCAATATTTAATTATACTTTTTATTATAATTTAAATTCAACTAAATTTATTATTTAATATTAATAATAAAATAGTTAGTAAGTACTTTTTATTAATTATTAATAATTATTATATTTTATTATAATTTAATTAAACTAAATTTTTTATTTAAAAATATTATTAAAGAAGGTAAATTATTTTATTAATTATTAGTATTTAAATATAATTTTTAAAATAATTTAAATTTAAATAATTTTTTATTTAAAAATATATATAATTATTAGAAGATAAGTTATTTTTAATAAATTATGCTTATATTATAATTTAAACTTAACTAAATTATAATTATTTAAATATACCTTTTATTGTAATTTAAATTCTATTAAAATTTTTTATTAAAAAATATATTATATTAAGAAGTAAGTTGTATTTATTATTTATTAATTTTTAATTATACTTTTATAATAATTTAAACTCAATTAATTTTTTATTAAAAAAATATTTAATGATAATATAATAGATGGTAAATAATTTTATTGATTATTAATATTTAATTATACTTTTAACTGTAATTTAAATTTATTTAAATTTTTTATTTAAAAAATATTATTAAAGAAAGTAAGTTTTTTTTATTAATTATTATATTATTTATTATAATTTAATTCTAAAATATTTACAATTTTTAATAAATAATAATAAATAGCTAGTAAGTAATATATTATTAATTAATATTTAAATATGATTTTTTACTGTAATTTCAATTCAATTAAATTTTATATATAAAAAAATATTATTAAAAAAGTAAGTTATTATTATTTAATCATATTTTTTTACTAAAATTTATTTAACTAATTTTAATTTAAAAAATATTTTTAAAGGAAGTAAGTTATTTTTATTGATTATCAGTTTACTGAAATTTAAATTTGATAAATTTTAAAAGATTTATATTAATAATATAATAGTTAGTAAGTAATATTTATTAATAATCAATATTTAATTATATTTTTACTTATAACTAAATTTAATATTTTAATAATTTAGATAGTAAGTTATTTTTATTGATTATTAATATTAATTATATATTACTGTAATTAATTAATTAATTTTTTTATTTAACAAATTATTATTAAAGAGATTATTAGTATTTA